CCCTATGCCTATTACCCCATCACCCTCCAATAGCTGTTTAATCTTACCCAAAATTCCCTCCTTTTAGTTTATAACTTCACCTCTCTCCCCGATGCTTCTATTCTCTTGTATCCATTACCTTTTATTCAGGTGCTAAACTAAAAAGTGATTGAATATCTGTGGCCCCCTTAAAACATTACATCCTGAAGTTATAAACAGTCTTTTATCTACCAAAATAACCCAACAAAACTCGTTTTTGCCACATCATACTTTATATTTTATTTATCCTCTTTTTCTTAAAATAGTATTCCCTAAAAAACCCCCTTTCTTACAAAGTTAACAAAGGGCCCCCCTTTATCTTTAACCCCGGCCCCAAAAACTTACCTCCACCCCTCTCTAAAATTTTTCCCCCTACTTTAGCATTCAGGCCCCCCACCCAATTACTTTTCCCCTTGTAAAAGGCCCCTATACTTTCATTAACATCTCCAAAATCTCTCTCTCCCCTCTACATTCCTCTTTTCTCCGGGTGCTACAGCTTTTTAGACCCACTTTTCGCCCACCTTTTACTTTTAAACCAATAATTTTGAATTTACACATTCTATTTTCTTTTCTCTTCCCAAAAAGATCCTTCAACATTACTGCTACCCCTTCCTTTGCTTAACTCTTCAGATCTCCAGATTTAAACCTTTTTTTCCCCCCCAAAATCCCTACCCCCTTCAGTTTGTTTCGCTTAGGGCCGGCATCCAACTTCTTTTATTATAACGTCAGCAAAATTTTTTTTGTCATCCCACTACATCCCTGCACTTCAAGCATCCCGTTTTTTAAATTTTTCTTTTTTCTCTTTTTTTGTAAATGTTACAGGGAAGGGGGTTTCTAGCCCCTTGCTCCCGGGATTTTTGTGCCTCATAGACACCAGGCTTACGGGGAAAAATTTTTTCCCCTTCCATGGCAAAAGAAGAAATAAAGAAGAAAAAGACTATTTAGAAAAGGAAAAAAACCCAGATGAATGATATTATAAGTGTGCGTGTCTGAGAAGTGTGACCCCCTTTAAATAGGATAGCGATATCCCTTTTCTGCGTTTATGAAAGAAAAGAAAAGTATATTACAAATTAGAGAAAATGTCCCAAAAATGGTTGAAACGCAAAAATGTAGAGAAATTGTATTGAGATGCAATTTCACCTTAGTAACAAACTTTCAATTCATTACAAAATGATGAGCAATAAGAGCATTTATAAAGGTATGCAGGTGTGAGCAGCCGAATAGTCAGGGAAGTGAGATCACAGAGTGAGGAGAGCAGCTAGTAGTACTGTGGGAGGGAGACTATACCTTGTTAATTAAAAGAAGGAAATTAAAAGTGAAATTAGGAAAGAGTAAAGTGATGAGAAAAACAAAAAAATTTAGGTAACGAAAGATTAGATATCAGACTGGAGGAAGGGAGTATTGAGGAGGTGACAGTATTCAAGTACGTATTTGGGAGTGGACGTGTCAGCAGATGGGTCTATGAAAGATGAGGTGAATCACAGAAATGACGAGGGGAAAAAGGTAAGTGGTGCACTAAGGAGTCTGTGGAGACAAAGAACATTATCCAAGGATGCAAAGAGGGGAATGTATGAGAATATAGTTATACCAATGCTCTTATATGGGTGTGAAGCATGGGTTGTGAATGTTTCAACAAGAAGGCAGTGGAGATATCTGAGGGCAATGTGTGGTGTGAATATAATGCAGAGAATCCACAGTTTAGAAATTAGGAGGGCTGAGGAGGGGTTATTGAGGTTTGGACATTTAGAGAGGGTGGAACAAAATAAATGACTTCGAGGGCGTTTAAATCTGTAGTGGAGGGAAGGCAGGGTAGGGATCGGCCTAGGAAAGGTTTGAGGGAAGGGGTAAAGGAGGTTTTGTGTGTGAGGGGCTTGGATTTCCAGCAAGCATGATGAGAATATTAGATAGGAGTGAATGGAGACAAATAATTTTTAGGATTTGACGTGCTGTTGGAGTGTGAGCAAGGTAACATTTATGAAGAGTTTCAATGAAACCAGCAGGTCGGACTTGAGTCCTGGAGATTGAAGGAGGGATGTTACTATTGCAGTTTTTTAACTGTAGTGTGAGCGCACCTCTGGCAAGACAGTGATGGAGTGAATGGTGGTGAAAGTTTATTTTTTTCAGGCCACCCTGCCTTGGTGGGACATAGCCTATGTGTTAACCCTTTGACTGTTTCGGTCGTATATATACGTCTTACACACCACTGTTTCTGACGTATTTATACGCGTAAATTCTAGTGGCTTCAAATCAAGCGGGAGAAAGCTGGTAGGCCCACATGTGAGAGAATGGGCCTGTGTGGTCAGTGTGCACCACATAAAATAATCCTGCAGCACGCAGTGCGTAATGAGAAAAAAAAACTGATCATTTTTTTGGATTAAAACGCCGACTTCGAGGTGTATTTTCGTATAGTATTTATCGTTGTATTCTCATTTTCCTGGTCTCAGGTGATAAAATGGAAAGCATATTACAGAAATAGAGATGATTTTGATTACTTTCACGATGAAAACGACCTTGAAATTGAGCTCAAAGTAGCGGAAATGTTCAATATTTACCAATGTTCAGGAGTAAGCAATTCACACCACACATTCAATACACTTCAACTGGGGAGTCTAATATTCTTTCACTAGTGCACTGATATTATTTATACCAGTTTTACAGTAATGCAGTAGTCTGCATAACAGTAAACTTTGTATTTTTTTGTATGAATAAAAAAATCAAAATAAAAAGCAATAGTAATATAAGAGGGGCCTACAGACATGACTAACAAACAGAGGATATGTTATTTTAGTGCCAAGAATGTCTACACTGTTTAATCTGGACCCTATTTTGAAATTGGCATCTTTTTTAATTTGCGTGAAATTGGCCAAATTGCCAAATTTCTTACCACTTTATTGGGTAGTTCAAATCGGTAAATGGGTGATTTCTTGTACTCAACAGATAGACAAAATGGAGTTGTAAAGAAATAGCTATGAGTTTGGTAAACTGGAACAATGAAATTGGCCCAAAACAGGGCTCAAAGTTGGCAAAATAGCCGATGCGTATATGTTGCCGAGACCGCTAACTTTGCGGGAGCGTAATTCCATGAGTTTTCGACCAAATTTCGTACTTTTGGTGTCATTACCATCGGGAAAAGATTCTCTATAATTTCATAAGAAAAAATAATTTTTTTTTTCCAAAAATTTATCAACATAGAATGACAGTTTCAGAAAGGGGCCTGCAACAGTCAAAGGGTTAATAAAAAAAAGTGAAACTAATGAGAAATTTTACTGTGGGAACATTTAGCTCTCATTTCCATGGGGAAGTGGAACAGAATTCTTCCTCTGTAAGCCATGTGTGTCGTAAGAGGCGACTAAAATGTCAGGAGCAAGGGGTTAGTAACCCCTTCTTCTGGATACATTACTAAAGTTAAAAAGAGAAACTTTTGTTTTTCTTTTTGGGCCACCCTGCTTCGGTGGGATTCAGCCGACTTTTTGAAAGAAGAAAGATTTAGCTCTCCAGGGGCTTTTGCTTGACAAAACTCCTGGAGAGTAAAATGTTGCCACAATAAAATGTCTCATTAGCTGCACATGTCCTTTCACCAAATATATTGTTGGTGATTCTGCCAACATTATACTGTACCTTGTGTATTTGTCTGACTCATCAGTGAACTGTTTCTGTTTTTGTAATGAGAGTAAGGCTAAGTAAGGATTCTGCTATGCAGAAAGCTCCCTGATTCTGATAAATGGTATTTTGTGTGCAGATTGGGATGGATTCCAGACATCTGTCATGTCATGTGTTTTTACCCCAATCATGTGGGGTGTTTACAGACGCTCTTCAATTTATGATGGGGTTACGTTCAGATGAATCCATCGTAAACTGAAAATATCGTACATCAAATATGAATACATATACGTATAAGTAAATAAATAACTAGTCACTGAATAAGTAAATAAACAAATGATTACTGTAATTACCTAAATACCAGTACTGAAAGTAAATAAATGGTTACAAGTTTATCCTATCAGTAAATGACTACTGAATGTGCATCTCTATCACACCACAGTAAAGTCAAAATATCTTGAGTCGAACCATTGTAAAGTGAGGAGCATCTGCACTCTTATCTCCGTGTGCAACATAGGCATTGCTCATGCTGTGTATTCTGCATGCATACTGGTGATTATGTATCCTGGCAGTCACAGTTCCCATGAGGTATGGTGCAGACCCCTGTATTATGATGGTCCAGGTGGTTGTATCTGTATTTGACAAGGTCTTTAATGATGCTTGATGTTATGGTTGTAACTCTTATATTGCTTCTGGAAAGATGCTAAGCTGGTAATGAAAGAAACAAAACACAGTATGGATGCCTTGAATCCACCATTTTCTACACACAAAATGACAACAGCAGAACCAGGGAGCTTTCTGCTTAGCAAAATCCTGAGCCCAACTTTTTGGCTTATTAGTTATTTCTCTCCATCATTACATATGGTATGTTCTTCTTCCTCTTTCTTTCAACAAACTGGTCATATCTCACCGAAGCAGGGTGGTCCAAAAAGAAAAACAAAAGTTTCTCTTTTTAACTTTAGTAATGTATACAAGAGAAGGGGGTTACTAGCCCCTTGCTCCTGGCATTTAGTCACCTCTTACAACACACATGTTAGAAAGTATTTCTTCAGTCACAGAGTTGTCAGGAAGTGGAATAGTTTGGGAAGCAATGTAGTGGAGGCAGGATCCATACATAACTTTAAGCAGAGGTATGATAAAGTTCACGGTTCAGAGAGAGTAACCTAGTAGCGACCAGTGAAGAGGCGGGGCCAGGAGCTTGGACTCGGCCCCTGCAACCTCAACTAGGTGAGTACATGTATGGTATATATGATCTCCAAAAATAAGCTTGTATATGAGAATTTTTCAGCCTAAGAAGAAAACATGGTAAGAAATAAAAAAAATGAAATTATGTTGAAGCAAAAGGCACATATTTTTTGAAGAGATACATAAGTATGACTTACTTTATGCGGTGCATCAGCACTGTCAGTAATTGGTGGAAGGAAAGGTGTATGTCTTGACCATGCAGAACCAGGAACTTCCAATGTTTCCTTCTCCAGCTCTAGTCCGGAATTATCTCCCCAAGACTCTTGGATAGTCCCATGTCGACTCATATGCTGAAACTTTTCTTGAAATCTGAAAATCCCAGAGTATTCAAGAAACACAGTGTTGCCAAGAGTAAATTGTGTGTGATGTGGAAGGCTAACAGTAAGGCATGGGTCACAAGGGAAATTTTCCTTGATTGGTTCAATGAAGTGTTTGGCCCGAGTGTGGAGGAATACCTCCTGGAAAAAAAATTGCCACTCAAGTGCCTCCTGGTAATGGACAAAGCTCCTGACCAAATGGTGGAGGAGTTTGGTTTCATCACAGTGAAGTTCTTGCCTCTTAATACCACTCCTCTCATCCAACCCATGGACCAGGAGATCATTTCAAACTTCAAAAAACTCGACACCAAAGCAATGTTTCAAAGGTGCTTTGATGTGACCCCAGACATTCAACTGACCCTAAGAGAGTTCTGGAAAGATCACTTCAATATCCTCCATTTCATAGGCCTTATAGATAAGGCTTGAAAGGGAGTGACTTCCAGGACTTTGAACTCTGCTTGGAGAAAATTGTGGCCAGAATGTGTCCTCGACAAAGATTTAGAAGGGTTTGAGGCTGACCTTGTTGACCCTACACCTGTTGTGCAATCAACTGTGGCACTGGGGAATTCCATGGGGTTGGATGTGAGTGGCCAGGATGTGGAAGAGTTGGTGGAGGACCACAATGAAGAGCTAACCACTGAAGAGCTGCAAGACCTTCATATGCAACAACAACAGACCACAGCTGAGGAAACTGCTTCAGAGGAGGAGGAAGACAGATGGAAGAAGGTGCCTTCTTCAAAGCTTAAGGACATTTGTGCAAAGTGGAGTGAGGTGCAAATGTTTATGGAGGAGCATCACCCTGAAAAAGCTGTTGCAAGCCATGTCAGCAACATGTACAATGACAATGTCTTGTCCCATTTCAGGCAAATTTTAAAGAGATGCCAGAAACAGAGCTATCTGGAAAATTTTTTTGAGTGATAGGGGTCCAGTGACTCTCAAGCTGGTCCTAGTGGCATTAAAAAACAAAGAAGGGAAGTAACCCCAGATAAGAACTTGGTACCTAAAGTCTTTATGGAAGGAGATTCCTCTTCTAAACAATAGTGTAACACTCTCCATCCTCTCCCCTCCTCCTGTCTTCCATACACCAACAAGAGTCTTCAATAAAGGCAAGTGTGATGTTATTTACGTTTTATACTTGATGTCTCATTGTTTTCTGTATGTAAATCTATATTTAATTTAAAAAAAAATATTTTTTGTTAATACTTTTGGGTGTCTGGAATGGATTAATTGGATTTACATTATTTCTAATGGGGAAAATGGTTTTGTCATTTGTAAATTTCAACTTTCATCACACTCTCTGGAATGGATTAATTACAAAATTCGAGGGTCCACTGTATGCATCTTCAAATTTAGAGCTTTTCAAATAAGAAAATGTTCCACAATTTTATATTCTAAAATAATATAAAAAACTTGGATCATTCTGAATGATGATGCTCTGTACAGGCAGGCCTCACCCAATGGACCCTTACTGTACAGTGCCTCACTTTAATAGGACAGTGTAATTTTCCAAGCCTCTGTAGATGAGCCCAAATCTTTCCAAATTTGGAGTGGGGTTACATTTTATCTAAAAAATCATCCAAAGCATCTCAGAGGCTCACATCAATGGGGTTTGCTCAGCAAGCCTCCCAGCATGTGTTGACTGATAATATTATGTGCAGCACAAGTAGCAGCTGTGGCTATTCACAACAAACATTTATTGACTAAGCAAACACATGATTCACTGCATGTTACTGGAAAAATGGTAGTGGTTCGATTACCCATGACATATGCAGCAAAAGGAAATGACTATTTATGAGGTCATCCAATAATACATAACCTATTTTATATTCCATCATATTTTCTCTGTTTATTCTGTAGAATAAACAGCCACATCCACTGTCTACATGGTACAAATTTCATGGAGGAAACTTTTATAAATTCTAACAAGAAGTGCTAACCTGGTCCGAGTGTTATATGAAGAGGTAGATGCAGGCCGTTGCTCTCCACTACTGATGGGACCCTCTACACGCAGAGGTGTAAGGAGGTGATTATATGTCTTTGATGAAACTGGTCTATGCACAGGAGTTCTTGGGGTACCAAGAGATGGCAAAGATATCTGAGATTGAGCTGAAGACTCTCTGCTCGTTGAAGCCGACAATGTTCTGAATTTCACTCGATCTTCACAATTTTGTAGAGGTTTGGAAGAGACTTTCAATAAATCTTGTAGCTCTTCTTGGTGAATATCTGTTCCAAAATGAGCACTCTGCAACCTATTAGCAGCACTAGAAGGTCTCTTGATCCCACTGACTGGTCTACTAATTGTTTCTAATTTTTCATTATTTTCACTACTAGATAATTTATGTACAGCATAAGGCCTTGGAAACTTAAAATTTGCCCTTATTACTTCCTCACTCACTTTCCTCAAGGGTGTTTGACCCCCGACCCTTGACCCTCGAGTACTGGACTCTCTGGATAAAGAAGAATATTGTACTGATTGTTCTATTATATATTTGGCATACTGATGAAGAAGTGGCTCAATTGTTCCTGTTACAGAGGACCACAACTTGTCAAAGAGCACAATAAGAATTTGTTCTTTAATCACTTCAGGATCATTTGATCCACTACACACTCTGCTACTACAAGTTTCCCTCCTTGGGTTATCGCTATAAGGTTTTTTTAACTGATTGGCACTGGTAAAACTAACTAAAGGTAATAAATGTTGAAAGTCACCATCATTTGCAATTATTTCCTCTTCTTTTTCTTCATTATTTTCCTGTGATCTGAAAAAATCAACAAAGGGGTCAAAATGTCAATGAAAATATAATATGAATATATAATATATAATAGTTCTTGTTCTTATTACTCTTCCTTTCATATCCATGAGGAAGTGGAATAAGAATCTTTCCTCCGTAAGCCATGCAATCTTGTAAAAGTCAACTAAAATGCTGGGAGTAATGGGCTACTAAGCTCTTTTCCCATATAGCCTACTAAAAAGAAGAAGTAGTAAACCGTCAAAGTGGGATGTTTTGAATGTGTGTGGATGAAGTGTGAATGATAAGAAAGATGATTGTGGATGTTATGAATGAAATGAAGTTGGATGTCCTGGTTCTAAGTGAAACAAAGCTGAAGGAGGTAAGAGAGTTTCAGTGGGGAGAAATAAACTGGATTAGGTCAGGGCTTTTTAACCCTTTTAGGGTTGGTGCCTTACTAGTACGGCTTGCACACCAGGGTTGAGGCCGTACTAGTAAGCATAAATTCTAGCGCCTTCAAATCTAGCACGAGAAAGCTGGTAGGCCTACATATGAAAGAATGGGTCTATGTGGTCAGTGTGCACAGTAAAAAAAAAATCCTGCAGCACACAGTGCATAATGAGAAAAAAAAAACTCCGACTGTGTTTTTGGTTTAAAACAGCGACTTTGCAGTGTATTTTTGTATGCTATTTATGGTTGTATTCTAGTTTTCCTGGTCTCATTTTATAGAATGGAAGACATATTATGGAAATTGAGATGATTTTGATTGGTTTCACAATGAAAAGTACCTTGAAATTGAGCTCAAAGTAGCAGAAATGTTCGATTTTTGCCAAAGTTGAAATTTAAACAAATCATGCCACGCGTCCAATACACATCAACTGGTGAGTCTAATATTCATTCACAAGTGAGCTGATATTATTTATGCCACTTCTACACCATTTCTACACGAATGCAGTAGCCTGCATAACATAAATCTATTTTCTGTGAGAATAAAAATTCAAAGTGGAAAGCAAAAGAAATGTAACAGAGGCCTGGGGACATGAGTAATGAAAAGAGTAAATGTTATTTTAGTGCCAGGAATGTCTGTCTTGTTTATTCTGGACCCTATGTGGAAATTAACCTCTTTTGAAATTTGTGTGAAATTGGCAAAATTGCCAGAGCATAATTCCGTAAGTTTTCAATCAAATTTTATACTTTTGGTGTCATTATGATCAGGAAAAGATTCTCTATCATTTCATAAGAAAAAATTATTATTTTTTTTCGAAAAATTTCCAACCCTGAGAACAAGTTTAGGAGGGGGCCTGCCGACCCTGAAAGGGTTAATAGAGTTAGAGCCAAGGAAGGGGTAGCAATAATGTTGAAGGATAAGTTATGGCAGGAAAAGGAATATAAATGAATAAATTCAAGGATTATGTGGAGTAAAATAAGGGTTGGATGTGAAAAGTGGGTTATAGTAAGTGTTCATGCATCTGGAGAAGAGAGAAGTGTAGAGGAGAGAGGGGATCTCAATTTTGAAGTGGGTAAAAATGTTGTGGAGGGAGTAGTAGGTAAATCTGGGGTGCCAAGGGTAAATGAAAATGGGAAGCCTTTAATTGAACTATGTGTAGAAAGAGGTTTGGTAACAAGTAATACATATTTTATGAAAAAGAGGATAAATAAGTTATACAAGATATGATACAGCACGTAACAAAAGTAGTTTGTTAGATTATGTATTGGTGGATAAAAGGTTGATGGGTAGGCTTCAGGATGTACATGTTTATAGAGAGGCAACAGATATATCGGATCATTATCTAGTTGTAGCTACAATTAGAGTAACAGGTAGATGGGACAAAAGGAAACTGGCAACAGTAAGTAAGAGAGAGAAGTGAAAGTTTATAAACTAAGGTAGAAGGAAGTTAGGGTGAGATTTAAGTAACTATTGGCAGAGAGGTGGGCTAGTGCAAGTATGGGTAGTGGGGGAGTTGAAGAGGGATGGGATAGTTTTAAAAATGCAGTATTAGAATGTGGGGCAGAAGTTCGTGGCTATAGAAGGGTGGGTGCAGGAGGAAAGAGGAGTGATTGGTGGAATGATGAGGTAAAGGGTGCAATAAAAGAGAAAAAAGGTAGTTTATGAGAAGTTTTTACAAAGCAGAAGTGATATAAGAAGGGCAGAGTATATGGAGAGTAAAAGAAAGGTGAAGAGAGTGGTGAGCGAGTGCAAAAGGAGAGCAAATGATAGAGTGGGAGGCACTGCCAAGAAACTTTGCTGAGAATAAAAAAAAGTTTTGGAGTGAGATAAACGAGTTAAGAAAACCTAGGGAACAAACAGATATGTCAGTTAAAAACAGAGTAGAGGAGTTAGTAGATGGGGAGCTGGACGCATTGGGTAGATGGTGGGAATATTTTGAGGAACTTTTAAATGTCGATGAAGAAAGAAAGGCAGTAATTTCATGCACTGGACAGGGAGGTATAACATCCATTAGGAGTTAAAAAGAGCAGGATGTGTGGAGGAGGTGTGTGAATCATTACAAAGAATCAAAGGAGGTAAAGCAGCTGGAACTGACGGGATCATGACATTAATGTTAAAAGCAGGGGGAAATACAGTGTTGGAATGGTTGGTATTTTTGTTTAATAAATGTATGAAAGAAGGGAAGGTACCTAGGGATTGGAAAGTGTATAATTCCTTTATATAAAGGGAAGGGGGACAAAAGAGACTGTAAAAATTTTAGGGGAATAAGATTACCGAGTCTAGGTAGTAGGTTGGTAGACAGCAACCGCCCAGGGAGGTACTACCGTCCTGTCAAGTGAGTGTAAAACGAAAGCCTGTAATTGTTTTACATGATGGTAGGATTGCTGGTGTCCTTTTTTCTGTCTCATAAACATGCAAAATTTCAGGTAAGTCTTGCTACTTCTATCTGCACTTAGGTCACACTACACATACATGTACAAGCATATATATACACATCCCTCTGGGTTTTCTTCTATTTTCTTTCTAGTTCTTGTTCTTCTTTATTTCCTCTAATCTCCATGGGGAAGTGGAACAGAATTCTTCCTCCATAAGCCATGCATGTTGTAAGAGGCGACTAAAATGCCGGGAGCAAGGGGCTAGTAACCCCTTCTCCCACATAAATTACTAAATTTGGAAAGAAAACCTTTCATTTTTCTTTCTGGACCACCCTGCCTTGGTGGGATACGGCCAGTTCGTTGAAAAAAAAAAAAGATTACCGAGTATACCAGGTAAAGTGTATGGTAGGGTTATTAGCGAAAGAATTAGAGGTAAGACAGAAGGCAGGATTGCAGATGAGCAAGGAAGCTTTAGAATTGGTAAGGCATGTATAGATCAGGTGTTTACATTGAAGCATATATAGGAACAGTATTTAGATAAAGTTTCATTGCATTTATGGATTGAGAAAAGGCATATGACAGAATGGATAGGGGAATGATGCTGTAAGTGTATAGAATAGGTAGGAAGTTATTAAATGCTCTAAAGAGATTTTATGAGGATAGTGAGGCTCGGGTTAGGGTGTGTAGGAGAGAGGAAGATTACTTCCCAGTAAAAGTAGGTCTTAGACAGGAATGTGTAATGTCGCCATGGTTGTTGAACATATTTGTAGGTAGGGTTGTAAAAGAAGTAAATGCTAGGGTGTTGGGGAGAGGGGTGGGATTAAATTATGGGGAATCAAATACAAAATGGGAGTTGAGATAGTTAATTTTGGCTGATGATACTATGTTGCTGGGGAACTCTAAAGAAAAGTTGCAAAGGTTAGTGGATGAGGTTGGGAGGGTGTGTAAAGGTAGAAAGTTGAAAGTGAACACAGATAAGAGTATGGTGATGAGGGTATCAAACAATTTAGATAAAGAAAAATTGGATATCGTACTGGAGGGAGGGAGTATGGAAAAAGTGAATGTTTTCAGATATTTGGGAGCTGATTTATCAGTGGATGGGTTTATGAAGGATGAGGTTAACCACAGAATTTTTATTTTTTATTATAAACACATTGTGGCCCAAAATACAAAAATTTTACCATCATTCACTCCAACACTGTCTTGCCAAAGGTGCGCTTACACTACAGTTATAAAACTGCAACATTAACACCCCTCCTTCAGAGTGCAGGCACTGTACTTCCAACTCCACGACTCAAGTCCGGCCTACTGGTTTCCCTGAACCCCTTCATAAGTATTACTCCAACAGCACGTCAAGTCCTAAAAACCATTTGTCTCCATTCACTTCTATCTAACATGCTCATGCATTCTTGCCGGAAGTCCAAATCCCTCACACACAAAACCTCTATTACCCCCTCCCTCCAACCTTCCCTAGGCCGACCTCTACCCCACCTTCCCTACACTACAGATTTGTACACTCTGAAAGTCATTCTATTTTGTTCCAACCTCTCTACATGTCCGAACCACCTCAACAACCCCTTTTCAGCCCTCTGGATAATAGTTTTGGTAATCCTGCACCTCCTCCTAATTTCCAAACTACAACCTCTCTACATTACATTCACACCACACATTGCCCTCAGACACAGCATCACTGCCTTCAGCCTTCTCCTTGTTGTAACATTCACCACCCATGCTTCACACCCATATGAGAGCATTGGTATAACTATACTCTCATACATTCCCCTCTTTGCTTCCGTGGATAAAGTTTTTTGTCTCCACAGACTGCTCAGTGCACCAGTCACCTTTTTCCCCTCATCAATTCTATGATTCACTTCATCTTTCATAGACCTATCTCCTGACACATCCACTCCTAAAAATCTGAATACATTCACCTCCTCCACACTCTCACTCTCCAACCTGATATTCAGTCTTTCGTTACCTAATTTTTTTATACTCATCACCTTACTCTTTCCTATATTCACTTCCAATTTTCTTCTTTTACATACCCTACAAAACTCATCCACCAACTTCTGTAAAGTCTCTTCAGAATCTCCCAGAGGCACAGTGTCATCAGCAAAGAGCAACTGTGACAACTCCCACTTTGTGTCAGATTCTTTATCTTTTAACCCCAAACCAATGCCAACACCTGAGCATACACTTCTCTTACA